AATTGATATTCGGTGAAATGATACAGACCTATTTCTGTCCCGTTAGTAAAATGGATTGTCAGTATTACGACTTCGGTGAAATGGTATTTCAGAAAAATGGACTTCAGGAAAGTGAGCAACAACCCACTCTATAAGTACATGTTTTATATAAATTCTCTCTAAATACGCGGCATATATAATTTGCTCTCTATAAATGCACGTTTTTTTAAGTGCATATTTTGCTTTTTTTTACTATAGTTGTGAGGGAGTGCACTTAGAAAGGTTTTACCATATATATAAAATTTATATTAAGATTTTAATAATGATCTTATATTAGAAAAACTACTTAATTAAAGAAAATGAGGATTGTGGAAAAGGAGCAAACGCAATTATCTCAATGGTTCATCACTATTTCGAAAATTATAGTCTGGGAGAAAAATATATTGTAATCTATGCCGACAATTGTTCTGGACAAAATAAAAACAATGCAATAATAAAATATTTAATGTGGCGCGTTTTGAATAAATTACATAAAAGAATTATATATTCTTTCATGGTATCAGGCCATGCTAAATTTTCTCCTGACAGATTTTTTGGATTACTCAAACTGAAACTTCAGCACTCCGAAGTAGATAACTTGGCGGATTTGGTTCAGGTCGTTCAAGACTCTACAGTCGGGGGTTATAACACAGCGCAAACGATTTATGATCAAAATGGTACTCAACAAGTTTGATTTTATAAATGGGCAGAATTTTTAGATGAATTCTTTAAGAACATGCCACAAATTCTCAAGCAGCATCATTTTATTATTTCATTAGACAAACCTGGCATAGTAGAAATTAAATCAGCAATAAATAAGGAGAAAACAAATAACATTATTGAAAAAAAATAAAATTAGTTTATTTCCTTTACCCACTCTCCTGGTTCCTCTTTTAGCAAAAAATTTAACTGCAGAATGGCAATGGTACTTGTACAATCAATTTCGTAATCATATCCGTGATCCAGCAAAAAGAGATGAATTTTGCCCATTACCCTCTGTACCTTGTCCATAACAAAACAAAAATCATAAATTTTTTATTATAAATCACACTTTTACGCTTATCCCAACTTGATACAAACAATAAAATTACATAATAATTTTATACATAGTAATGCTATGATCTTGAATAACTTGATATCTTCATATTCATCTAAATTAAAAAGGTTATGATAATTTGATAATTCGATAAGTGCTACGTACGATGCTTATTTCAATTAATAAAATACTTTTATGCTTAATAAATTAATTACACTAGTAAGATTTAAAAATTTAGACATGCGAATGGCATAATTTAGATGCTACTCAACATTCGAAATTTTTAATTTTTACTAGTATTAAGAGGAATTTTTAACAGCTCAATACAAAATCTTTATACCCGCCTAAATTAATAATAACTAAATTAGACGTGGCGAGTGCCTTAATTGTATCGATTATAAAATATCATTATACTCATCTTACTGGACTTAAGTCCCTAAACGTTAATCAACGATATATAATGCGTACTGATGATGAGAGGGGGAAATCGACATTTATATAAATAAAACTCCAATATAAGCTTAATATCGACTCAAAATCAAAGATGGTAAATTTTTGAGTTTTTGATGAGCGTTAATTCTTGCTATTATTCCTTGGGCAGTGGCCTCCTCGTAATCAGTAGTGCCGTTAATTTGTCCAGCAGTAAACAGATTACTGATCAACTTAGTTTCCAAACTATTTTTTAATTACATAGAGTCTAGAACGTCATATTCGATTGCATAACCTCATTTCTTTACTTGGGCTTTTTCGCAGGATTTTTATCGAACAAGAAAAAATCTGACAAGATATTATCGAAAGCAATTATATTGAAATGCATTGAACGAATACTAAGTAAATTCTGCTCGAATGTAAAAATAAAATAGCCAGAAAGAATTCATTGAAATAAAATAGTACGAAAAATCTTAATAATTATATCTATTGATTAAAAGACCAAAGCAGATAGTGCCGTCAGATATAAATTGTTTGCTGATAATAATAGTGAATATTTACGATTAAACAAAGCAAAGCATTTATTTCATTCACAATTAATTTCATTGCTCTTTTTTTGAAGTAAAAGTAAAGCGTAGTCTAGTTCAGGTTTCTTACAATCACGTGGTCTAATTGCTGTAGAAAGGGGGAAATCGACAAATTTTCAAAAAACCTTTTTTTGTATAAATCAATTTAGGATAAAATTAGGATTATTTTTTACTTAGAACGCAAACTTGGTTGCACTAATAAAATCTTGCAGTATAGCTCTCTGAAATCTGTATTTTCTTATAATTTATTATAAAC